TTCACACACTGTCAGTCATGGGCACAGCAGGAGTACGGAGCAACATCAGAGTTGCTCTTGTTTTTCCAACTGACTGGGCCGTGGTGTAAACATCGGAGCTCCAGGCCCCGCGGCGGCAGTCGTCAAACACGAGGAGACAGACAAGTAGTGGAGTGTGCAGAGATATGAAGACACGGAGATAAGAGAGGAATCTGTCGTTACGATGCTTACCTCCTTCTCTCCTCCTGTCTCTATCAGCCCACTTCTCTCCCAGTGTCTGTCCGTCCGTCTGTAGTCACTGAGGCTTCAGAGTGGGCAGGATTCAGCACCTGAGGAATCACAGGTCAAAAAAGTCAGGCATCAAACTGCTGACCTGCAAACTTGTTGTAAGGCGAGAGTACTAACCATGTAACCCCCTGCCGAAAATCAGTTTTTCTAAAGCATTTCAAATTTTTTGGACATTTTTGGTCAAGTTTGTCAAGTTATAAATGTTTTATATTTTTTGGCTAACGTTCAGCAACAATATATTTGTCTTGACTTTAAAATATTTTTCATATATTTTACGCTTCAGGATGACGTCGTTGTTGTCATGTTGTTGTTGTTTTCTGTTTTTTAGCAGTTAGTTTAGTTTAGCTTAGCATGTTCTCCGATTTTGCTAACATATGTGTATTTAAATATCAGCTCTCTAATAGGGATAGTCAATGCAGCAGCTGTTCAGTAATTAGCCAAACCTCTTGGACGTAAAACATCTCAACTAGTGTAAGGCAAGAGTAGTAACCATGTAATCCCGCTGAACCATTTTTTGTTTTACTTAAGATGTTCTACACTCATATGTACATACATATACATATTTTTGCTCAGCTTTAGTTAGTTATGTTACGTATCTTTTGGGCACTTCTGAGTTGTAAGTTTAGCTTAGCATGGTTTCCATTATCGCAAACAAGTTTAATAAAAAAAGCTGCCATTACATTATGAATTGTTCCATAGACCTATTCAGCTACTGTATGCTACTGTATGCTAGTACAAAGCTAACCTATTTCTCTTGGTTTGTTATCAAACATAAATAACATAAAATTTTAGCTGTTTTTTTTTCCGTTGTTGCTAACTTTAATGTACTTCTAGTACGCATTGTTTTGATATTTTTTTATACAGACCTGTATATTACTTGATCATATTACCATTTTTTACATAATGTGAAAAACAATATGTCCTAATCCTAATAATCCCAGGAGGAAGAGGGATTTCACAGCACACACTCACTGTTATCATGAAGAAAACAGGGTGAAGGCAGAAGTAGCCGCCCAAAAAACGAAGGTCGATGAAAGACTGCAAACGTCCATTAGGCTCTAACGCTGAATGCATTTTTAATCGGTTGTGTGTATTAAAAGTAATTATTTGGCAATCAAGTATGACTGAGTCACTTATGCGCAGCAAAGTGCTGGGACAGAGTGTTTTTGAGACGAGTACAAACACTCAGTGACCAGAAAACCCAGGCTGTGGCCCTGAAGAGGAAACAGACCCTCCCTTCACATCGGAGTTCTCAGCTGCACAATAAATATGAGGGAGCGTTCACAGAGAAGTGGCCACAGGTCTGATGTGTCCCCATTCTGCAGTAACCACCTCAAGGGCTTCACCTTCAAACTCACAAACTAATTATCACCTGAAAAGAGCGTTTAATATTTTTTTCAAAACAGCTCCAAACTACTGTTTTTAATCACTTCTTTAACCAAAATTCGGCAACTATTTAACTGTGGAACTAGTTGGCAAGCCGAGAGGACAAATATGTCGTCACACAGCACTTAGTGTGGAAAATGCATTCGATTGCGCTACATTTGCTTTCTTTTGTACTTCTTGTTTTTTTTGGGGGGGGGGACATTTTGCCCTTCATTATGGCTCCCAGGCATAAGTCAGACACTTGTGATGTCTTTATGTCCTAGATTATGATGTTACCACATGTAGGTGAATGATATAAGTACTTGTCACTCACCTACTGTGTCTATATATATATGACTGGATGGGAGGTCCGACTTCACAGTAGGAACAGTAGGAAGATGAGTCATAATTTAATTTAAATGGTATGAAATATCTTGACAGGCACCAAGGCCCTGCCTCAAGATCAAGTTCAGCACGAGAACTTACCAAATGACAAGATTAAGTTTAGACACTTAGTGGAAATCCCACACTTTGAGGCAACATAAGTGAACAAACACACAGATCGTGCACTTTGCTAAAGGTTTAAAGATTTTCGGATTAAAAAGCACATTTGGCGAACGACCAATCACAGAGTAAAGAAATCTGATCAGCCGGTCGAACCAGGTCTTCAAACAATGGTGTTGTCGTACAAACATCACTCAGGCTGCGAAAAATCAAACCAGTTCAAACGTTGTGTTTTGTTTGTTGGAGAAACCACGCCCGAGGTAAGAGAACATAACTACGGAGGGTGTTGGTCGGTTTAACAGGTGGAATTTAAACAGTTCTGCAGGACAGTCTGGTTCCCAGTCACCGTCTGAGCACAGGAAAAACAGAGCTTTGTGTTGTACGCTATACTACAGACTAGTCATTTCCGTAGGGCAACGCTGAGATATCTTCTGTGTCACAGTAGACGACATGACAATACCTGAGGTACCGTTAAATGCTGTCAAGCACCCAAGCTTATCTAAACAACCTTAGGCCATATAGAGTAGAGTAGTGATACCAGTGATGCCTCCACTGTCCTAGACAAACTCCTGCTTGCTCACAACTGACCATTTAGGATATATAAAATGATATAAACAAGTTACCGTTAATGTGATGAGACTCTGAATGATGCTGCGTTCCTGTTAAGTTTATCTCAGAATAATTCGGAGAAACAATTACATTATGCAATTACATCTTACATCAACATTTTGAATGATATGAAGAAAATGTTTTAAATTAAAAATATAATAATAATAATAAAAAGATCATACGCCCAAAACACAAAAACTGACCAGTCTGTTTTCTACTCTCAGTCTCCCATCTGCACATCTACCAGGGTCAGGGTCACGTGCTCTCCTCCATATGCTGCGACGCCACATGATGGAGCGGGGCACAGCGCCCTTTATCTCAGCCCTGTCCAGCTCTGTGAGCCATCTCACCATTAAGCTTTTCATTTCCATTTCATTCATAGCAACATTCACCTTTTGGCATTTCATTCATAGCAACATTCACCTTTGGAGTCCTTGATTATTTATTTTTCTATCCACATTTTCAATGATTTTGTGTTCTCGTATATGAAGGTTTATTTTCTCTGCCCTTGTCTTGGGTCAACTACATATTCATCTTGATTTAAATTGAGGATTTTTCTTCAGGTTTGAACTGGAGTGCGAAATGAGTCGCACATTGAAATGGTGATCTGTGTTTTGATGAAAATGCCCTCATTTAAACTGGTGAATTTAAGAATATTCATATGTTTTAGGGCTGGGCAGTATGGACTAACAGCCATGTCTTGATATATTTTAGCTCAATATAACGCAATATATATCCATATTTTATCTGTGATGTAATTGGGGGTTCCTCTAAAGCATTATAGTGTATTAGATTCATTCACTCTGCACAAAATAAAAAAGGCATAAAACAAATTCAACTAAACAACCGTATAATACATGAAATAAAAACGCTCCTGGAAATGAAATAAAACAAACCTCTCTCTATTTCAGTGCCTTAACTATCAGATTCTCTCATTTCCGATGGTTCCTGAAAGCCCCTTGTTGCAGACATGTCATGCACTGTTATAAAAATGTTATACAAGTTATTCCAACTCTGTTTATATATTTACAAATATATTAAACAGACTGTGGAATGTCAGCATGTGTAGAGCTTGTAAAGCTTTAGACTATAATCAAATCTGGTATATTTATAGACTTAACAAAAGTTTAACCCTGATCTCAAAAATACTGTATATTTTAACTAAAACCAATTTACCAACAAATAGCTAAACAAAAACTCAAAACTGTTAAAATCCCCACAAACCTGGTCGAATGCTCCAACACGTCCAAGTAAAAAGATAACCTGGACGGCCAATGAGGTTTAAGCATTTTCTAAACAGTAGCCAGGATTTACAAAAATGTAACAAAAAGGTTGTTTAAAAAAATAGGTTAAAGTCTGCTGTAATATACCTAAAAATCTGAGGTATTTTAGGTATATTTAAAAAATGTTTACAAAGTTTTAACAATTTAGAAACAATTTTCTAACAATATCCTAAAGTTATCCTCAGGAGTAAAAGAGTCAAATATTTAGCCATTAATTACTAAATTGTCCAGAACATGTATCCAAAAGTAATTGACACAATCTCACAAAGTTACTAAAATTATTAATGAGAAAATCAGGCCACTAATAAAAAGAGATTTTTAACCCTAGCTTGTACCACACCTAAAATCTGTCCAAGTGCCACAATAGGTCCTGGCACCAGACATTAGACACAGCTGCTTTCGTTCTATCCTCAAATAACTCATTTATTTGACTCAATCTTCGTGCCCATCAATGTAAGTTATGACAATCTCTGTTCAAATTCATACATTCTTAATAGCCATTAGGAACGAGACAGAGTATCTGTGTCCTCGTTCTGAAAGTGTAATGATTCCATTCAGTCCTTATCTAGATAATCTCCATTATAAATGATTTTCATTTCAGTGATAGTTGTTGGTGTATAATCTCCATTATAAATGATTTTCATTACAGTGATAGTTGTTGGTGTACTGAGATCATCCACACACACTAATGGTTTTTACTATTACAAATGCTTATGCCTAATCTTAATCCTCACTCTGGGTTTTATAATCCCAGCTCCAAATTAAATCTTAAACCCCCAAATACTCCCTAACTCGGACAGACCTGCAGAAGGTCCCCAAAAATCACATCTCCAAAACAATGTCCCCTCAAGCACCAAGAACACACTGACACACACACGATGATTGGAGTCCTGGAATTGGTTTTGTGCTCTCATATTCCCTCTCTTATATGGGACAGATACATCTCCTCTTAGCCTTGGTCTGGGAGTCACAATCAGGGAACAAGTGGAGGCTGAAGGCAGACGGCAGATTAGGAGGGACAACAATATGAATTTGAGGATGTCGTCTATAACCACGCCATCCGTGTTTGCGTTTTTTGTTTTTTTGTCTTTTGTTTTTTTGTCCAGAGTGTGGGTTCAGAGAAGCACAGGAGCGGTGGAACAGAACGATGGCGGGGTGAGAAAAACGTTGACATGTGTCTGAGGTGTTGTGAGGGAGCTACAGTATGTGGGAATAGGAACACGCAGAGAAGGAAGTGAGAGAAAGGGAAGTGGAGGCAGAGCGAGAAGTGCCAAAAGCAGGTTGGACCTGCTGTTCATCACTCGCCGGGCTTCTCTGCACTCCTTCACTCCCTCCCTGCTTAACAAGAAAAAAACCCATTTATGCAGATGAAGAGCCAATGTGGAGCAGCGAGGTGCTTATTATGGCAGCTATTTATTCCCCCAAGAAAACCCTCACATTGGTGACATTCAGTAGATCTGTAAATATATATACATACATATATATATGTATATATACTGTATATGTAGCTGTGGAAGGGATTGATGGACGGAGTGAAAATGTTGATATATTTTACAGCTGCATTTTCTTTGTACGTAGACCGGTGGCTCCTAATCTTTGTTGTCCTGTGACATCACAAGTGACATCACAAATTTCTATGACTTGTGCAGTCATGTGATCACAGCTATCAATCAGTACCCAGTACAGATATTTGTAAGTGGTGCGTTTTATTTGAATTTAATATCTATTATCGGAAGTGAAATAAAACAGTTGTTTATACAAAACAATTAGTTTATATACTGTGTATATATATATACAGTATATATATATATATATATAAACTAATTGTTTTGTATAAACAACTGTTTATATATATATATATATAATGTTTAAATCAATTACTGGTTATTAATTTCAGGCAATCCCATTGAAATTCCCAGTAAGCCTATGTGGGGTCGCAACCCTAAGGTTGAAAAACATATACCATTATTATTCCTTCCTTCCTTTTTTATCTTTATGTTTCTACCAGGAAGTCGGGTCTATCTCGAGCTTCTGTCTGGTCTGTCTGGTCAACACCAATAAATGTTGCATGTATTCGCTGCTGTGAACCCTCTGTTGTCATTGGAACTGGGGCATTAATTACATACTTTAAAACATTTTAGTCTCACCATCCAGTGACTTTGAATGGTTTCTGTGAACGTCTCTTGTTCAAACTTCAAACAACTGACTTTCAGACTTTTATGTCTAAGCATGGATTAAAAAACCCAAATCCTCTGAGATCTGCAAAGGAGCTCTCAGTTACCCCATTAGGACACAGTAATTTGGACACTACCCACTACCAGGGCATGACCCTCTCTACACTTTTCCTGGTACAAATAAATAGTGTGTACATCCACTTACTTTAATGTGGAGAAAGAACAATTAGTTATCGGAAATCTGAAAACCAAAAACCAAACTATTGTACCTGCGGTCACCAACTATATTTGTCGGAGAGACATAGTTTCTCTGGACGGACACCTCGGGGGCTGGCCAAATTTTTGTCCAACAAACGTATTCAATGTTTATTTCGGAATCAAATTACGGTCCACATTGGACGGTTCAGTGGGCCGTATACAGCCCACAGGCCACCAGTTGGTGATCACTGCATAACACTATAACATATACATATTTATACTATATGTCATGAATAAAGAAAACACAAAAGTCAAAAACTACTACAATGGTACAAACGATAGCCTTATTGAAAACTTTTTTTTGGCTAACCTCGGTATACTACCAAGACAGGATGTCACCCTGGGCAGCTGCCCATGTTGCCCTGCTTTAGGTGTAACAGTCAGCCAGGACTCTACTAAGTGATGACTGTGAATCAGACAGCGTCCTGTGCTACACTACATTACACGTTGATTTATGTGCACAGTCCACAGTAGTTTATCTGTGCTGGGTCACCGACAAAGACAGCTCTGTTCCCAACATCACTAAAGACTCTGTTCTACACTAAGTGATCCATACAGCAGCGGCAGCTGGGACTGGTTTGTGGTGTAGCCACCGATTCATGTGCGGGCGTGGGTCACTTCAACCAACATATATAAATAATGTGGCATTTAAGGTGGAGCAGGTACTGAGAGAGAACAAGCAAACACACACATAATCTGTGAACACACAGGACTACTGTGGGAGGCTAACCTGGACAATAGGACAATCTGATTGGTTCAGATGAGATGATGTTTAAGTAAATATATATATATATATGTTTAAACATTACAGGAAAAAAACTTTAGTATTTGGCAGAAAAAGATACATCTCTAAAAACTACAAACTACACATATGTATGTATATAAACTATGTTTTAATGAGAATTATTTAATAGCTTCAAATTGTGTTGACAGATACACAAGCTAGCAGCTAGCGAGTAAAAACAGCTAGCAAAAAAAGCCTTTTCTTTTAAATGTGAGGCAAAACATATGTAAGATATATTCACAAGACATTTAGGCCCAAAAATGAAACATACTGTAAGTGTAAATATAGCTAAAAGTTGAACCAAAAATAGCTTTTTAGCCATTTTTAGTTTAAAAAATAAGCATAATAATAGCTAATGCTCTTATTGATAAATGTTTGACAACAGCTAAAATGTCTTTTATGACACCCAGAGCTAATCCAGACCTATTACAATTGTACAGGGTCACATGACAATGAACACCATTGTACATTGAGGATCATTCAGTTTATGTTTTTTAAAAATGTGAAAAGAATGAACATGTTCCATTTTCCTATGGGTGAAATATTAGGTCATTCCGGGGTCTTTTTGACGTTCTATTGCGGCGGCTTTGTAACTCCCCTGTGAGCACTTACATTTCAAACACGTGCAGCTGACGCTCCGTTATTTTCCTGCTTGTTTCCAGTCTAAACCCTACACTGCAGCGGGTAAAAGGCAGCGCTGGAGCAGATCAGTCACATCAACGTGACAGGTGACAGAGGGCTGAAACAGAACATGAAGAGGGCAGACAGGACGGAGGAACTCCTTCTGTTTCCCTCACCCGTACTTGCATCCATGCACACAAGCGCTGAATGGGTGACTAAGTCCTGGCCCAGGCCTCGTACGGTGGCTGTAAACAAATCCAGGCTTTTTCTCGATCATTTCATTCTTTCACTCACTCTCTCCGGGGTTGCCATAGCAACCGACCTCCTGCCTCCTTGACAGTATTTTGGGATGTGGTGAGACTTTCACCACTGTGTCAGCGCGTGTCAGTGTGAGTGCATGGGTGGTAACCCACAGCAGATGGGATCTTAACACTCTTTATCTGGCGAACCTACGTTCACAGCTCCACTGGACATGTGAGTGGGACGAGTGAGAAACAGCAGAGAGGAGATGAGATGGAAAAAAGATGAGTGCTCGGTGGAAATGACTGTTTGGGACTTACATGTAAAGCGTTGACAACTGCTCAATAGTTGACGTGACTGAGCTGACATTTAAGTCATAGTCGAGTCAACCAGACCTTCAGTGATGTCATCACTACACAGGCACACGTGTCCAACGATGACCATGTTACTCTCCATCCACTGCTTTGGTAGCTTTTGCTAACGGAGAGAACACTGCAGTCAGTTGTTCTGTCATATTGGTATCTCAGTTGTTTACTCTTGACTTTGTGACAGTTGTTGTCTAAAAGTAACATTACCGCCCGTTTTATGAAGTGATGATGACTATTGGACTGTTGGTCCATGATAAGACATCAACCTTAGCTAATCAAAGGGAGAAAAAACACGACTTTTTGACTATTCGTCACGGATGTCGACTTCTGCCACTCATGTCGACAGGTTGACAAATCTGTTTTTCTGTCAATGGTCTGCCTACATGTGTCATCCAATTAGGTGCCCAGACTGTGTTGAAAGGCGACCACCTGACCCATACCATACATGGTGGTGCTGTCACTTTTAAATGAACAGGAATCGTACTGACCTCAGTCAGAGGTTTCCATCATCAACCTGCATCTTTGGCTTTTCTAGGACAGAAATTCTCTGGAGTCAGATTTACAATTACAATTATAAGAATCTTATTTCACCATTCATCCAACAGCATCACCTGGTAATGCCTCATATCCATCAGCATTCCTCTTTCAATGACACTGACACCAACACAAACATATACACAGGAACATATCTGTCCTACAAAGAACGTTTCTTTATAGAAATTGATATAGCACCTTCTCGTGTCTAGGAAATTCATATTTACTGTAAGCAAATTAAAGTATAGAAATGAGTGCCTTTTGACCTTCAATGCCCCCCTGGGGTGAGGCAGAGTACTGCATGCCTCTCCTGCTGACTTTTCTCTGCACTTTCTTGTAAGATCAGCAGGACCAATTCTCTTGCACACACATTAAAGACATTACACATGTAGAGAGTCATGCTGTATAACAAATTGTTTCGTTAAGGTTTGTATTGGGGATATGCTGAGGAACAGAAACGGGCACACGTCATACGACCCAGGTTGTATTGGATCCGGCGGTCAGATAACAGGCACAGCTCTCCACCGCATCACCCGGGACTTCTGCTCTGTATTTGAGAAATACTCAAATTCGGCGATGTTTACTTAATAAAATGTGTAGAGCCCTACTGAAAATGAATTTTTAACACAGATCAGTGGAAAATATTTATATTGATTCTATGTACTTTTTTCCTTTTTTAATCATGATGGAAGGGGAGACACTGCCACCCCTGACTGCACGTCACTGGTTTCCATTCAGGTTTGGTCAAAAATTAAAATGTTAGCTCAAACACAGGAAATTTAAAATATATAATTGTCATATATAATATATATTTGTTCTGCTTGCAGTAGAGTAACATTTTCAGTTTATTTGAGTTCAGCCAAAGGACACATCTTTTGTGTCTGCGTGTGAAGGCAAAGCAGCTCAAGAGGTCGTTCCTCAACTTATGAAACAAGGCAGAAAAGTGTCGGACCGACAGATTCAATATAGGTCTGTGCGTGCGTGCGTGTGTGTGTGTGCGCCCGCTGCAGATAAACCCCACACACACACTCTTGTCGAGGCTCCTCAGCAGATGTCACCTTGCGGGCTCACCACACTTGTGTACGCGCGCCTCTGTTTGCCATCGGGTCGATGGCGAGGATGATATAAACACTGAAGGATCAACATTTTACTAAAACTCTCACCATCTGCCCACCGGCAGGCAAATAGTACACAAACACACTGCTCTCTTACTCGGCCTTTTTCTTTATCGCCCCTGCATCGCTCCACTTTTCTCTCCTTGTTCATCGCTCTCTGCAGCCCTGCCATCCATCATCATTAGGAGGAGAATGGATGACCTGTCTACACCTGCAACCGCTCTCTGTCCCTTTAATTCTCTGGAGGAGAGGGGAGAGGAAGGGGAAGGAGAAGGAGGAGATGAGAGCAGAGGGGGAGAGGGGAGAGGAAAGGAGGGGAGAGGACAGGAGAATGCAGATGCCCCAGATGAGTCTATATAGTCAATTCATTAAGCTAAATGAATTTAATCAAGTATCAGTGATTTCACCCCTGTCCTCAGTTCTGCTGCTTTAATAACTGCCACTGATGAACCAGATTTAATCAATTTGTATGAAGTGAGATGGACGACGGACAAAAACATTGATTATCCTCAGCCTGAGTCCTTTGACGTTTTGAATTCTCTTAGAAAGTGTTCCCAAATCCAGATGACCACTTCAAAAAAACAAAACAAAACAAAACATTTAAAATCAGAGAAAACATCATAAATGCTTTCTATCGTTTCGGTCTCGTGTTTCATTAGCCACGGCACAGCTACGGCACTAATTAAAATAAGGTCATTCATCTCTATGAGTTTCCACTCATTTAATTATGTTTATGATTGAGCGATGGATTTTCTCAGGCTCTCGTATGTTTTGATTTTATAATTTCCCCACTGTACTCCTGTGTGCGTGTGTGTGTGTGTGTGTGTGTGTGAGCCCACGATGAGTCTTTGCATCATCTTCACCAAGACTGAAGCCAGCAGGGACAAATACAGAGAGGGAAGGAAAGGAGAGTAGGAGAGTTAAAAAAAAAAAAAAAGGGACAGTGAGATGAAGGAAGTGTATGGATGACAGGAGGACAAGCAGAGGACAACGTATTGTCTCCTGTTAATATGTAAAAATAACTCTGTTGCTGCCTGGTGGAGGAGCTAACTGGGTCAGTGAATTCCCAGAGAGACAGGGAGAGAGAGAGAAGGGGGGACTCTATCTTGCCTTCCTCAGGCTGTTAATGCTGAGAGTGATCTGACTGTCCATAAAACCTGTCTGTCTGTCCATCCATCTGTAGGTCTGTCTGTCGCTCAGTCCAATTTTCTTTCATCCAACACCTGGACCAGTCACAGTACACACACACGCACCACTGATGTGAACATATCACATGGACACAATGCAATCCCTGGCTCCTTTACACTAATCTGAACTATATCTGTGGCATTATATGCCTAATCTTATGCCTTACCCTAACTCTCATCCTAAACTGCCGTCTAATCCTCAAGACATGAAAATACCCTCTCTCACAGTGGGGTCATGCAAAATGTCCCCATAAACACACACAGTCCCTCACAACACAACAGTGTGTCCAAAAATGATGTCCTCACAGGCATAGCTACACCAGGATCTCACACACACACACACACACTCCTCCTTTCCCTTCCTCCACTGACACAAAACCTAGTTTAGTGTCATCTCACTTCCTGTTCTCTCCATCATCTAACCTTACTAAAGACAATTTAAAGAAGTTTCTTTAAAAAGAGTTTTAAGTGATTAGCAGTTGATGGTGCTACACACAAACTAGCTAACGAGCTACAGACTGGATTGAGGTCAACCCCAAACATTAGCATCTTTAGAGGCAGATATTTTCTGGACAGACACCTCAGAGGCCGGACACTCCGGGAATAAAATGCAATAAAATTCACAGTGTATTTTGAAATCCAGTCACTCGGCCCACAGTCCGCCAAGTTGATAATCACCGTTTTTTATGTATTTTAGTAACGCATTACCTCTGAGGTCATTCTGGATCTTATTGGTCATTGTTTTGATTTTTTTTTTCCAATTACGAAAAACATTCTTTTAAGTCATGTGTCTGCAAATGAATGGTGAGTTAATTACGGAAAGTTAATTTCTGGCCAATAAATATTTGAATCTTTTTATGACTTGGTGTTGTGATAAATGAAGCTATGGTTTTTCTTTTACGACTCTGTAAATATATTCACATAACTTTAAACCCTCTCTTATCTAATGCCTTGCACAGCATCATGAAAAACATATAAAAGGAAATGCTATTTTCTTTAACAGCGTCTCAACAACACTGATAAAGACACAGGAGGTTTTTGTTTTTGCCGTACTTTCGTTTATTCCGTGAACTGCCGACTCGTGAAGCACAGTGTTTGTGGGATTTGACTGTTGCACCAGTCAACAGTGCAGCTGTAAGACTAACCAATAAAGCACACAATTTGTGCTGGTCAGCAGTTCTGAGCGGTGATTAAAATCCTTATTGATGAAGAGCGGCCCACGCATACTAACTATCTGGCCCACTATTAATCAGGCTACGGCGCTCGGTGCATGGGCTGTATGTGTTTTATTCGCAGAGGGTTGTCTCCAAGACAAATTAATACGGGAGCGTGGAGGCAACGGGGGAATTTTCCACCTGTGCATTTTCTGTTAGAATAATGGGCCGAGCCTGGTGTTCCTGGCACGGTTCAGAAATAATATGAGTAAGGAGAGAATATGAAAAAAGGTCATTCCACTGTAGAATAACTACACCAGGATTTATCACCCATTCTTTGAACGAACATGAAAAATCTTATTATAGAAAATATTTACAAATATTTTTCACCAGTGTCAGAAATGTCAACAAATACAGGGAGTCTGATTATTTATAAAGGTAAAAAAAACGGCAAATAATTTACCAGAGGTTATTAGCCAAATGTTTTCCCGGAATTATTGCCTTCAGGTTTAGGAATAAAGATGAAATGTTGCAAAATAAACTTAAAGGAAGAACAGAATAAATTGATGAAATGTTGCAAAATAAACTTAAAGTATATAGAATAAATTGATTAAAAAAAAGATAAAAAAAAAGATCAAAATATTTAAAAAATATTAGCCATAAATGAAGAATAGGTTTGCCTAAAAATAGCCGCTAAAAGCTAAGACAAAGCTAAATAAACAAAAACCCTTTATATTTGACAAAATGACAAATACAAAAATGGGCTTTTAAATAACTGAAGAGTTAGCTAAAATAGAGGAATAATCAATCAACACAAAAATCCTAAAGTTAGCAAAAGTATCCAAATAAGCCTAAATTTAAAAAATGCTGAAATAGATCATAAAAAGTCCAACAGGTCACAATAAGGATTATTTGCCATTAAAAAAAAGAAAATTGACCCTGATACCAACAGGTCACAATAAGGATTATTTGCATTAAAAAAAAAAGTTTGATCCTGATGAGAGTCCATACCCTAAAAAATGCATTTTAAAAATTGTCACTGTGGGCCTCAGAAAAGCTGCCACTCGTCCTCGAGCCAGATCTTGAACCTGGCTGTATTTAACCAGCACAAAGCCTCAAATTTATAGAAAATGATCCCAGAGCTCCAAATGGTTACGAAGCCTGGGTCTTAGTGGATTAACCTGGAACACTGGTTCAAACTGGGCAGGGCTTTTTCCTGGCCATCTGACTGGGGCAACAGAAATAGCCTAAGCTGACTACAGCATATGGACCCCACTGCTGCAGAGCTACAGCCTTCCAGGAGTCACTCAGGAAATGTACACGTGCATGTGACGGTGCACATAATGTTGGTACATTTCAATCTAATCTTTGTACTGCATTGTACTGCAGTCTTTCGGACCAACCACCACAACGTTTCTCTTGGAGCATAAACCACAGTATTATCCCTGTCATCAGGGGGAGCTCTTGGTGGAGCAAACACTGCACTGCACTGTTCATACAGCAGATCTCTGACTGCACACCGACGTGCACCATCTCTCAGAGAAAGTCTTGTGCAACTGTGGCTCCACTAAGACGTCTATGTGCCTTTTTGTGCGACTGGAGAGTGAAAAAACACTCTCCGGTTACACGTTAGCCGTGTTTGGACTCGTGAAATTACGTGGAAGCGACCCGACGGCATTAGAAACACAGTGGCCTACAGTCAGACCTGTGGACGCTCACGTTCGTTCATGGACACCGACAACTTCTTATGTGAGTTGTGAATGTGAAAGCACAGAACTCCAGTCTCCGAGCACACACTTGGCACTTGAATAGATGTTTGTCTAACGCACGTCCGAATGTGAACTGAGAAATTGAAGTGCAGTTGTGCACACTGTGAATGTGCAGTAACAGTAAACACACGTGACTTTGCAGATATTTGGTCAGAAAAACAACAAGGTGCACTCTTTAAGAGGTTTAAAGTCCAGCAGCATTACAGCAGTAGAGCCATTATGTAACGTCTGTGTAGAATTGTCCTGAAGGTGGCGTGACACAGGAGCAACTTCTGCACTAACACTGAGGCTGAAATTAACAGCAGTTTCAACTGAAATCTTGTGATTACTTTTTAGTAGAAATGTCCGATATTAACCTTTTGCCGTTATCCGATTTGCCAATATTGTCCAAACACTTAATTTGCGATTCCGATATCCACCGATACTGATATATGCAGCCTTTTATTTTCTGTCATGCTCCCCCTTGGGGACAGAAATGTTTTCACATATAATCTCCAAATATTAGTTTCACTTTCACTTTCACTTCAAAACTATCTTTAGGTCACATCATCTGCGTTACCGGGTTTTTACTATTGGAGAAAGAAAACGATAATAATTCTTACTGTTATTACATAATTAACCCAATAAAACACATTTTCAGTTGATAGCATGCCTACATAATTAAGCTAATATCGGCCGATATTATTGGTTGGTCCATATTATCGGATATCCCTACTTTTTTGGCATTTCTCTTCCAATAAATATATCGATACTTTTTTTATTTTTGTGTTACATTGTTGCCTTTTAGTAAATTTGAACTCACTGTGGCTAAATGCACAATACAATTACAATACATTGTACAGTGTACAATACATTGGTACTACTTGGTGGATATCTTTGTGTTATGTCTGTCGACTTTTCATTTGTCTGATTTTTAATGACCTTTTGACCTTAGAGTAAAAAGAAGTAAAATTCATAGGATTTTTTCAACCTTTTTGGCTTAACGTGTACCTTTCTGGAGCCAATTTTCTGTGTCTTGGCAAATTCGTACACACTCTGGCTGACTGTTAGTTTTTCATCCTGCCTATTATTATAGAGTGATTTTCTCATTTTATCACATTTTCTGGGCTACATTTAGCTGTTTGACACGT